AAAAGGATATGTGAGCTGGTGAATTTTTAAAGGCCCATTGATTCTAGAGATAAATTAGCCTTAAATGATAGCGGTGTGTCAGGTTCCTCTCCTGCAAAACGCTTTGGCAGGATGCCTGCAGAGAATCACCCAGCCTGTGCGTCAGGTCACTGGCCCGATGTTTAGCATGGAAATGGAAGCCGCAACAAAGGCGGCTGGAAGCCCATACGCCGTGATGAAGCCACATGATAAGCAAAGGTACCTCTGCAAAGTAGCTTCTGCGCAACATGCCTCAAGGATCCTTTACATTGGGACTGCTGGAAACAGGGTGTTGAAGCCAGTTTTGATGTGTTTGTCACAAAAAGCAGAAACCATGTCACCACTCGTGTTTGCCAATTCCCTTGCCAGAAAGGTAGTTGATGTAAATGACAAAATAAGAGCTATTAAAGATCCCGTGAGGTTTCCTCTGTATATAAGACTTTTAAACTTCACAGTATGAATACAGCAAAGAAGGCATCACAGAGTCAGTTAATGTTACTCTGAATTTCTGCAAAGCTTGGCAATGACTGTCTGTGTCCGTTTGGGGTTCACCTCTAAGGGAGCGCAGGGGAGAGTAAGTACTAATCAGTATGAATGTGTGACTGCAAAGCTGTTTCTGACTTGGTGTGTTCATCCAGCCAGAGGCTGTGCAACAAGTCAAAATAGGAAGAATTGTGAATATCAGAATTTTTTCAGGAATGATTTCTCAGCACGACTTGGATCAAAAATTATTAGCAGAAATTCAGCAAATAGGTACAAAATAAATGTGAGAGAACTACAAACAGCTTGTAAAAAATGAGGAGTACTTGTTAGTTCTAGTCATATGAGTAAAGATAGTGTCTCACGTGTTTATTTTGATAACAAGTTTATGGAACCAAAATACTGCACATTGCTATTTCTTTATGTACAGGCAGCAGTGAGGATTGAATATCGTACAGAGAATGCATGAACAGTAGATGTTTGTACCGGTAACTTTAAGGAAGATTTTCATCTCATTGTTCACTTTTAAACTCTCGAGCTTTCAAAAGTGAAAGCAGAGACCTGGTGGGAAAACATCCCTTCTGGATTTTCCGTGATGTTTTATAATTTGTATAAACATTTGTGCTCCTTTTTTCATTTTGAAATTCATCATGTTTTGTATATTAACGTAAATTCTTAGTATAGTTTCACCATCTTTATTTGTGCATTTTTATATTCAGGTTGGGTCCATACAGAGTTGCATTGTAATGTCAGAAGTAATGAATTGATGACTTCCAGCAAATGAAATTACAGTTTGGAAAGTTTACTGAACTTTCCAATGCCTTTCATTTTAGAAGGCATTTACAGGAAAGTGCTTTTAAAATGTTTTAAAGAAGGCTTCATTGTCGTAAACTAGACACTGCATATGTGTTCAGTTAAGTACCTAAACCCAGCTGATTTCACTCAGCAAAGTAACAACAAACATCATTAAAAATCTGTCCCCTAGCCCTTTACCCAAGCTTTTGACAATTCATGTTTCAACACCAGATTTAACAGGATTTGGCAATCCATGTGCTTTACACAGCTTTCAAAAGTCTCAACTTTTAAGTTTTCTAAGCCTCAGCTTCCATGAAGCAGCAGTGGGAATTGTCTTCTCCCACTCTTTTTGTGTAAATTCAACATAGATAGGTCACTAACAGTAAGGCTGCGTATTAGTAAGCGTATGACAACGTCAATGGCAGTGGGCTGCTGATTCTGCTGTTACACAAATACATATAACATTGCGTATGGTCAAGAAGTTAAATTCACTGGATGCTTATTAGAGGTATACTGGTCTTAAACTTTCATATACTTCTAGGGAAAAAGAACAGAAAAGGTGGAAGGGAAAAGAGGGAAAGGAAGCAAAGTAGTTATCAACAAATGGCAGTATATTAATGGAAAGATTTATTTTTGAATGGTATTTTTGCAGTCTTTAGCAGTGCCCACAGATTTAAGAACACATGATGATGCACAGGCACATTAATTTTTAAAAGCAGTTGTGCAGATTTGACCTAGTTCTGTTTCTCCAGGAGAACCAGATTGTAGCAGAGGCCACAGAGAAACCACCGAGCACATCAGTTTTACCACAGTACAGCATGAAGCAACTTACCATGGAGCGCTTACTGGCAATTAAAACATTCCAATATTAAACATTCATAGATTGTTCAGTGCAAAAAGGGCAGGTGACATCAAAGCAAATGTTAAAATTTGGACAGAGAGATGCAGGCAGCAATTAAGCCATGGTCCTTTTCTTTCTTCCCAAGAGGATCCATACAAGTTCAGAGGAGCTCTGGACGGCTGCCTAAAACTACTCTGGACTATATTTATTATAATATACATATGGTTTTTTTAATATACATACATATTTTTATATATATTATAATGAATATATATTATCTATATAAACCCTGGAATATGTGCTAAACCCTATTCACTGATGGCCAGGCTTGTTGGACAATTTCCAGTTGGAAATAATTCTTTTTGGAGCGGTGGTCAGTGGTATTCAGCCATGCAGGTATGGGACTGCAAGAGCAGCTGAGACAGCAAGAGATTCCCTTCTGCATTAGCACTGTCCACTGGTAGATGTATGCTCCTTGTCACGCTTGTGCTTGGGGCTCAGTGGCTTTATAGCTCCATAGCAAATGCCGATAAAGACGGAGTCCACCACTGCCATTTCTTAAATGACGTGTTCTCTGTTCTGTCAGCACGACTAGTCAAGAGTAGTGAAATGTGTCTCTAGGTTGGAGACAAAAAGGTCTTGTCAGAGTTGATTCTTGACTTAAATCAGTGGGACAGTGCCAAATTAACCATTATTTCACATGTACATCATTGTAAGTGAGAAAGAAACTGGGTATTATCTTTCTTTAGGAAAGTCTTTTAGAATCTATGGTTGTAACATAGAAGAGCAAAGCCAGGAGCACTGGACCAGTGGCGAGGAGTTACTAAGGGTGAAGGTGAAATTTAGACATGTGTCTGAGGGTAGCACACAGCCAAATGTTTAAAATCTTGATACCCAACTTAACAATAATAATCCTTAGATGCATCTTCAACCTACAGTAGATCTCGCTCTCTCCAAAATAATGATTCTGCCTAGACAGTAGAAACCTTATAAATAAATAAATAAATAATAAAATAGATCAATCTTGCCATTCATAAAGCTGCACTCTCCCGGAACGATGCTGCTCAGCTGTACCGTGGAAAGCGCTGATGTTAAAGGGTGCATCTAGATCAGCATTTCAGTCAGTCGGGAGTACCCTCCTGAGTGAATGTCCTGGTCAAACCCACACACCGTACTTCATTTCACATTGTAGAGTGGTCTCAGAGCACACGAATGGGTCTCTTCTGGATGAAACTAAGCCTGAGGATGTGCTTATAAGGTGCTCCAAAAGCTAATGGATATTCAGTGTGTGGGACCACACCAGCAAGTCCTCTGAAATACCTATAGTGTGGACAGCAGCACTGACGGTTTCACTCTACATGTCCTCCTCTACGGGTCTGCACTACTTGCTAACGTAGACAGAGCTGTAGAGCACCCAGACAAGGGAGCTGCTGTCTCCAACGTTTAAAATGAAAATCTAACCAGGTGGAATTTCATCTTATTACGCTATAGAGAGGAGGAGATGCCTTTCATCAGCCTTACCTCTCTGTCTGGTGTTTAAAGAGCCTCGCTCTTGCCGCAGACAGTTGGAAATGTGATGCTCCAGACTGTAACAGAGGAGTAACATTATCGCCTTCTCCAGTGAGTTCTTGCTCAAAGTTCAAACGGGTCCCATGCTTGCATCCTTAGACAACAAATCCATGCCCAAAGGTAATAAATCAGTGTGCAGGGTGCATCTCTTGTCAAAGTCACCCAGTACAAACACATTCTACCTACTCCAACCTCCGTTTATACGAGCAAGAGCACAATTTATGACGCACCAAATTGTCCATAACCTTTATATCCTTGTATTCTTGCTCCTACATCTTAAATCCCTGACAGCTGAACTTCAGTTTTTCTTTGCCATTTCTGATCAGGCATAATCTAAGAATATACCAGCATGGAAGTAATTCAGCTGAGGAGCCTCTGACACCAGGTAAGCGATGATGATCTTTAACGCTGTTATTTTCAATGACGTTGACAAAATTAATTCCTGTGCTGACAGGCTCCCTCTGTAGCCCTGAAACTCTATTTTTATTTAACTGGGGTGAGAAAATGAGAAATGAACTTGCAATTTGTTTAAAGGTCTCAAATAGTTCATAGGCTTTGAACAGTCCTTCAGCATTTTGATGAATTCGATGCTGCGCAAGTCCACTATGTGCATGTCCTATGATCACCTAAGCACAGCACAGACAGCTGGTTCAAGGGTCGCAGATGGTTTTTTTTCACTGTTGGGTGCTATAAAGCACACAATATTTTCTCTTCAGGATGGAAAAATACCAGTCATATTAGATCCATTCTGCACTTCTACTGCATAATGCCTTTACCCAACAAAAGACCTGTTCAGAGATTAAACTGTCATCACAGTTAAAATGTAGCTCAAACTCTGCTAACCTTACACAGGGAAGTTGTTGGCTGTGCTGAAGTCAAGACAGATGGTCACTTCAGAGATGTTTCTTTTATGGCAAGTTGTCGTTTGAGTAGGGATATTTCTAGCTGGATGAGTCACCTCTTTCTCAATTGCTGCATGAGATACCAAAAAGTGATTTTTACATAGGGATATTCAAAGACATGGCAGAGGCTGAAAAATATGTCTTCAAAGCAGCTTACAGTGCTTTCCTTCACTAGTGGGAGTATTATATGGCACATGTAGATTGATTAAAAAACCATATCCTCCATTGTTTTCTTTTTGCTGAAAACTGTGATGAAATGTCTTTTTTTTTTCCTTGGTTTTTTTTTTCTGTTTTTACAAAATCAGGTGGTATTTGATATACGAAATCAGTCCCACAACAGCAAAATGCACTAAATCATAATAAAATTGCTCTGTTTAATGTAAAAAGTAAGAAATTTAGAGTAAAGTGCAAAAATTAGAGCGAACATTTCTAATCTGTGGCTCTTCAGTAGCAGGTTTGACTCTTCCCCGGTTTAGAGGACAGGGACCATCATCTGCATGCTGGTTGCCATGGAGACTCCCATCGCTTTTGGAATCATAAGTTTTGCCTGAAAGGAAATACTCCTTCAGTGTGAGTTTTTAATGACCATAGAGGTTTCTGTTTATCAGCACACCATATCTGTTTATCAGAACTACCATGTCTAAGCAGGTGGGAGGAAAGGGAGCAAATACTTTCTAGCAATCAGTGACAACATATTTAGCCTGCAAAAAATCTACAAAACATGTAAATAGAATTACAAGATGTGCTGCATTAGATTAGACTGTTATGGCATCAAATCCATTATCTCTCTCAGTATCAGCTACTACAAAGGAGAATGAACTTTGGTCGCAGAACATGGCCATGGCAACAAATCCTTCTGACACCTGCAGGAGACTGGCTTGTGAACTGCCAGGCTGCAGAACCAGTGAGGTCTTTCTTTCTCAGGCTCGAGTCCATAAGGGCTTCCCCATAACTACAAATAATGACAGCTTTTCTAGGAAAAGATGTGTACATGAACAATTGGGCCTGTCCATGTGAAGAGCTGTCTAACATTTATCTATTCTGTTTGCCCTGCCAGAAGGACTCTGAGGTTCGACAGCTACATCAGCTTCTTTCTCCTTAATGCACAATTAACACTCGGGATTGCTCTGAAGGTGAACTCGTTTGGCCCTAAACAGTGTGCAGTATGGTTAGTTTCACCAACATGAGTATGTTGGTGTGAATTTCTAGCTTGAGTAAAACTATGGTTATTCAGAAGAGGAACATAATGAAGCTGCAAGATTAAGCCTCAGTTACTTCCTAGTTCTGTTGTCTTTGCTAGATGGTAACTAAATAACTACCTGTTAAATCCGCAATTTTCGGCTGATTTCTTCTTTTGAGGCTGTTTTGTGCATCGGTGGGGCCATCGATATACTTCATTGCAATGGCTGGGGTCTGGTCCTTCTCTGGCTGAGTCCGAGTAACTGAAAAAAGAACAGAAAAGGATACTTTATTGAGTTGTATTATCGTTCATTTGTTCAAGGAGGGAAAGATATGTTGAGTTGACTCTACCTGGCTGATGATAACCTAGTATTGTTTCAGTCCTTCCTTCTTGAAAGGACTGAACAGATTCATGGCCAGAATCTAAGTCCTTCATTGGCCTTCCCATAATCTCATTCTCAGTTGCAGTTTTATTTCTAATGAGGAAGTACGTGTGCATTTTCCCTTTGCCTTTTACTTCTATTTCTCCTCTTTCAGTCATCTCAAAATTCTTGTATTTTAGGCATCTAAAATATCAGAAGCAAAATGACACATGAAAAATCAAGATTAGTAAAAAGAGCACTGATGTTTTAGAAGAGCTATTGTAATCTAAGCAATCAAATCACAACAGTCCCGGAAAAACGATAGTGATCTGTGAACAATTCAGGGTTTGTTTCAACTGTTTATTCAAGCTTGCTGTGCTTTTATAGCTTTACACGTACAGCCTGATCAAAAAATCAATGGATCACATAGTCAAATACTTCAGTATGGTGGAGGGTTCTTATTGACTAGTAAATAGACATTAAGAACTGAGGCAGCCAATATCAGTTAGACAGAACTATCTCCAGTCACTTCATCAGAGAAGGCAATCAAGTTCGTCAAGCATGATTTACTCCTGGTAAATCCAGACTGGCTATTCCCAATTGCTGCCTTCATGTGCCCAAAAATGGCTTCCAAGAGGACTTGATTTTTACTGTGACTGACATAAGGCTGACCAGGCTATAGTTCCCCAGCCTGTCCTCCTTGCCATTTTTCAATATAGGTGAAGCATCTGGCTTTCTTCAGTTGCTACAGTGCTGATCTTCATGACCTGCCAAAGATGACAGTCAGCAGCACTGTAATGCCATCAACCAGCTCTGTCATTACCTTTGGAGGCATCCCATCTGCTCCCATATGCTTCTGTAGATCAAAATTTCTCAAAAGACACCTGATCTGATCCTCTTCCAATACTGGTACTTCACCTACACCTTGAACCCTGACTCTAGGTGCAGGGACCTTGAAGACCTCATCAGTGAAGACTGAGGCAAGAGAGGCCTTGAGTAACTCAGCCTTTATTCAAGGACTGCCACTAAATCACCTGCCACAGCAGGTCCACATTTCCATTTATACTTTTCTGCTAACACAGCAGAAACTCCTCTCACTGCCTTTGAAACTTCCTTGTCCATTTCAATGCTAGTTGAGCTCTGGCTTTCCTAATGTCATTCCTATGTGTCCAGACAATGTTTCTGTACTCCTCCTTTGTAGTTCATCTTCACTTTCGCCTCTTGCATACATATTTTATGCATACATAAGAATCTTGAAAATGTAGTATTTCATTTTTAGTAACATGAGTTTTAAGAAAGTAAATTACTCACTGCATGAATAGTAGTTTATGCAGTTAATCCTTAGTAAGTGCAAATAAAACTGTTTCACCACAAATTGTTGTGCTCAATCAGAGAGATTTTAAAGCTTTTGTTATGCAAGATGTCAAATTAAATGTTCTGACCATCTTTCTAGCATCTACATCAGTCAATGGATGCTTCCAAATAAGCGATCACAATTATTTTTTTCCCATGTTTTGCTCTCTAGGATTGAGACTCTCAAACCTCTATCTCTATATACAAGTGCATTTGAAATAGTTCAGAACAAATAAAACTCTTTGCAAGCAGTGATTTTTTTTTATAAGTAAGCTGCATAAATCAGTGACTAAAACAGCATCATCTACATTGAAAGCTGCAGCTGTCAAGGCAGCATTTTTTAGCGCAGCTTTTAACAGGAAAAGTTTCCATTTTTAGTTACTCACTGATAGGCACTGGAGCTTAGATGAATTTTACTCGGGACACCATGACTTTCCATCCGGGAAGCTATATTCACCGTGTCTCCAAACAAGCAATAACGAGGCATCTTTTCTCCAACGACTCCAGCCAAGACAGGACCTGTATGGATCCCAACTCTAATCTTTACAAAGACATAAAACACCCCCCAAAAATGTCACTTGTTATTTAACGTCTTTCTTAATGCTATCCAGCCACCTAAAAATTCATCCTAACACAACACTGGACGCCAGTAAAATATCAAATATCCACAGGGAGAGGCTCTTTGTGAAAAATGCACCCCTGTGGGCTTTGCTCAACGTCACAGATAAGTGAGAAGAAGCTCTTTGATGTCCTACTGCAATATATCAACCAGAAGCCCAACCCAAGAGGCAGACAGACACACATGCATCTTTGCGTTAGCAACTTACTTGGATAGGATTTCCAGAAACTGGATTCTGTACTTCTTTAGCTGCCATGATCATCCCCAAGGCAAAGTTAGCAACTCGCTCAGCGTGAGTGGGTACAGGCACAGGGACCCCACCTACTACCATATAGGCATCTCCAATTGTCTCCACCTTTCGTTGAGAAGGACAAGCACATGAGCATGCCATGTATATCTTGCTGAGGTTAGTGCTTTGCTGTTTGGGCCTCTTCTTACCTGCCCCAACCCCCCCCCCCACTTTCTTTTAAAAGATGTTTCCAATCACTAAGAAGCTCTAGCACATGTGAATTGCCTTGAGATGGGGGGGATCCTTTCCTTGACTCCACAATAAAAATTTCAATGCGTTCTGTCCCTGCTTACTTGACCCATTTTAGATATCAGTGTGAGAGACCCTAAGGAGTAAGGGTTGCTGTGAAAGTGTCAGATGTTTTGCCTTTTTCCTACCCAGGGCAGACCCATATGCAAAGAGCTGTCCCCAGGCACGGACTCCTGAGCCAGGAGGTTATCCAATAGCTGGACACTATTACTTAGGTCTAATTCACAATTGGTGTTAAAAGCAGACTTCTTTTTTAAAAAATATTTCTTTTTTAAAAGTCTCAGTAAAGCAAGGGAGTCTTTTCACTGGTGATTATTATTATTAAGGAGTTCACACAAAATTAAGAAACTTCCAATCTCCAGGATGTCAGAAAATGCAAAGTGTGGACTAAGCAGTTCAGGAGCATCCTTCTTTACAACCAGCTGTTTTCCCACAACATGCTACAGCCTGTGAGACAAATGCTGAAGAGTTTGTCCTCCCTCAGGCATCCAGTCTCCTTGGAGTGCATGGTAAGGCACTGAGAAATACTTTGGGGTTTGTCCCTGTACCAGAGATTTCGCTGGGAATAGAGTAGGCCTGTCTGAAACAGAGAACACTCAAATGTTTACAATTCACTGTAGAAGACTGCTACACGGTAAGGAAATTTTCTAAACTGCTGTTATGAGAATTCACTGTTAAATTTACCATCAGTAAATAAGAGATCAGTTTAAATTAGATTAACTGGATTTCTTAAAAATGAATACCAATAGGAGAGCGGGAACATAATTTCATCTTTGGGTTTGTTCATTAACATAATGACTTAAAACTGTTCAGCACATTAGTCTCGAAAAATGTGTCCTTGTACATGCCTGCTATCAGACAGCCAAGCCCAGTAACTTTCTGAAACACATTAAAAACAACTGTTAAAAGCTACTCATGTAAACAGATACCCTAATTATTTTTTGGCCATGGAAGGAGATTTAATTTAACGAGATTTATTCATAACTTCAGATGCTTATAAGCTTGGGCCAAGTTTCTTTGATCAATTTCAATATTTCATTTCTTTCTCAATTCCCTGAAATAGTGCTCTCCTCCTCCCTCTCTGTACCCTAGTAACCCCCTTCAATATTAATACGAGTTATATATAGGCATCCAAAGGAGATTATTATAGGGACAGATAATTTACTTATGATGGATGATTTACATAGAATATGATGCTAATTTATCTTAAAATCTGTGGGCCATATCCTGGATGCTTCAATTATTGAATACAGTTTCCTTGCCAAGGCAGAAATGCTTCTGATTTCCCAGTGCAATTTATTGTGGGATGAACTGCATGCCTGCCTGAGCAAGGAATGAATGAGATTTGGATTTCGCCCTTTACTATTTCTGCCTTCCTAAATATTTAATGTGCTGGGGACAGACAGAAGCTTAGAAAGTGCTCTTCAGCTTGTCCAATCTGCCTAGCTCTGGGGATGTTAGTATCACTGCTGTTATACGTACAACCAGGGCTCTGATCCTTCCCGCACGGTTTGGAGACAACACGTACATTACAGTCCAGATCTAATCAGTGCTCTTTGGGGTCAGCAGGAGATCTGTACTATTGCCTAAGATCTCCATGAAGCAAAACAAAGTCTAGGTATTATCTGGGTATTGTTTACAATATTATTTCCCACTAAAGGAGATACTTGATGACACAGTGACCTGTTTACAACAGGTTGGAATAAAAGAACTAGGAAAATGATTCAAATTGGTCTATAAACTAGGATTTCCGGTCATGTTGGGTAGGCATTTGAGAGGGGGGGAGGAGAGAGAGAGAGAGATACTTGAAAGAACAGCCATTCTGGCAGTAGTGTTGTGGAAAGAGATTCTAGCCCATGACAGATGTTACATTCCTGTCTGAATATTTTAAACGTCTTTAATCACACCTCTGCCTGGTTTTTAGTTTCTCTGTGTGGCCACTACAAATATGCACTATTTCATGGTTTAGCAAAAATCACGCTGTAGGGAAGAGGATTTAAGTGCATTTAAAAACAAAAGACCAAAACAAACAGCAACAAAATGTTTTTCCAGACTATTTCTACAGCCTCTATGGATCAGTACATACCTTGTACACATCATGCACCGTGGTCAGTCTGTCGAATCGCAGGTACATTGAATTTAACATGAGAACTATCTGAATAGGCTCACATTGGGCACAAATGTTGGTAAAGGTCACAACATCGCTGAACAATATAGTGCACTCCTTGAACTCTCCTGTGAGCAGAAAGACCAGTAGTAAGTACGTGTAACGACTGGACAATTGTAACATCTGTTTGAGACATGTTTTCTAAGATTGCTTTCTCGTCATTCTTTTAGGACATATGACCTATCAGCTGTAATACTCATATACTGGTACTGACATGAAAGGGAGATGTCAATATAAGAGTATATCAAACATAAAAATAATCTCAAGTAATCCAGACATCTGAATACATCCCTTTGTCTATCCATATTCATCATATACTTAGCTCTTTACCCCTGTCCTGGCTTCAGCTAGGACAGAGTTAGCTTTCTTTTTAGTAGCTAGAATAGTGCTGTGTTTTGGATTTAGTATGGGATTTGTTATGAGAAGAATGTTGATAACACACTGATGTTTATAGTTGGTGCTGAGACATCAAGGACTTTTCAGCTTCCCATGTTTTGCCAGCGTGCAGGTGCACGGCAGGTTGGGGCTAGCATGGTCAAGACAAAGAACCCACAACTCCTAGCTTATGATTTGAGCTTAGATTTAGGGTTGAGGTTCAAATTGGCCAATGGAATACTCCATATCATGCAACGTCGTGCCCAGTATATAGATGAAGATTGGCCGAGAAGTTGGGAGTTCTGTCTCACTCTCTCAGGATCTTTTTTGGGGGCCCTCATTCTTACAGGATTGCAATTTCAGGACTTGCCTGTTTTGGGATTGCTAACTGGGACTGGCAGTGATCAGTGGGTGGTAAGTAATTATGCTGTGCATCACTTGTTTATCAAATATTATTATTATTTTAATATATTATCATTTTTATTATTATTTTATCATTA